AGACAGAGACAGAGAGACAGAGAGAGAAAGAGAAAATAAGAAAGTAGAAGAGTAGGAACAGTATAAGGAGAAAAAGGAGAAAGAGGAATAAAGGATAAGAAGGAGTGAGGGAGAGAGAAACCTCTAGGATTTTAATCTGAATGTAGAACAGAGTTTCAATTTACTGAGGTAGAAAAGGGAAGATTTATATAACAGGGGCCAAAAGTTTGATTCAAAAAGAATTAAGTTTCAGAAAGGTTTTAGACATCCAAGTGTGGTTATGAATTAGACATTCAAGCTGAGGTATAGGACTTGAATTCAGACGGAGGCCAAGATTGGAGAAAGACATCTGGGAGTTTTCAGTAATATTTAAGCTCATGACAGTTGATGAGCTAATTTAAGAAGTGTAGATAGAGGGGAGGCAACCAAGTAATACATCCTGGGACTCTCAACATTTAGAGGTAGGCAGTTGAGGACAAATTGGCAGAAAGAACTAAGGAACAGTCTGTGGTGGCATCTCCTTTCAAGGGAGAGAAAATGTTAGATTGTGTGAAATGAGGCTAAGAGATCAAATAAAGCAAAGACTGAAAATAACAATTAGATTTAATAATGTTGAGGTCAGATTTTTTTTTCCTTTTCCCAAGAAAATAATAATTACAATTTCTTTGGTGAAATTTCCAAACTAAAATGTTTGACAACCAATGAAAATTTTGAAAATATTGTGCAGGCTAAGAAATACACACTTGGGGACAGGATGGGACCCATGGACTACAATTTTGTTACTTTAGTTTTGAATGACTACTATTTACAATTTTCTCATCAACTGATTTTTGGAATCAGGAGAACTCCACATCAATGCATGGTATTTGGTCTACCACAAGTTTGGTTGTGCAATACCTTGTGATACAGACATCAAGAAATATAAAGTATATTGTTTGCCTTAACATCACATAATAAGGATGTTTTCCTTGATTTCTAGAAAGAAATATCAGGGCTCTATAATGTTTTGAACATCTGATTTCTTTTACCTTTTTTATTTAAATGTATTTGGTACAGGATCTCACCACATAGCTCAGACTTGTAGTGATCCTCCTGTCTTCAGCCTTCCCAGCACTTGGAGGGCTAACAACCTAAGGTTGCAGACCAAAATTAGAGAAAAAGGAGGGCTGAAAGGAAAGCCAACAGTTTGGCCCTAGCCTTTCAAGGTCAATTAAGACTCAGGACATATGAGAACTTGTACTGTAACATCATGTAACTCAGTAGTGTCCCAAATTTTCTGATCAAGGAGATTATAGGGCCACCCTAATTATTTTAAAATCCTACCAGTGGCTCCTTACTTGTTTTGAGAAAAGCTGAGCTCAATTTTTAAGTCCCCAAGAGCTTTCAAGGCCTGGCTCTGGCCCACCTCTCCAGCGGAGTCTCTATCAGAGCTGTACTGTGCCCCTTGTGGGCGCTCAGCAAGTTTGCCTTAGTGAGGCCTCTTCCTCCATCAAAATATATTTAAACATTGTACTTTATGTCTGTTTAATTAGTGCAAAAATCAATGTATTAAGACATTTTTCTCAACCTAAAAGTTCTTCTATTAATGAGTAAGGTAATAACTCATTACCTCATTGCAAGCATCTACATAATGTAAGTTACAGGTCTGGAGGCAGGAGATTTGTTTAGCTTTCTATTGTAGTCCAAACTTCAGTGATGGCTCAAAACTGTATTTATTCATTAACTTAATCATTCACTCTATAAACATTTCTTGAGCATTTATTTCATTTACTGTACTAGGTACTAGTCACAAAATTTATAATTAATCTCTATTTTAAAAAGTTGTGATACAGCTGCATGTTGTAGTTTATTTATCGTTTGTGTTTTTATATTACTTAAAGCCAGTTTTAGTTTTAAAATCTTGTTTCTATTTAGAAAAGTAGAGTCTGAAACTTTGGTGTTGACTCTTCTTTCTTCTCTCCATCCAGGAAAGATCCAAACTTGCCTACTTTGACTATGGAGATGTCATTTGTAAGGAAGGTGAAATGCCACTTGGAATCTACCTAATTATTTCGGGAATGGCGAGTGTAAGAAACTATTAATTCTTTACTTAAAATGTATTTTGAAATAAGTCAGGCATGGGAGGGTCAACCCACTTGGGCACCCCCCTCATGTCTCTCTCTCAGACAGGAGCTTTCTTTCCCCCAGTAAATATATTCTGCTCATAAAAAAAGAAATAAGTTAGGCACGGTAGTGCATGCCTGCAGTCCTGGAACCTGAGGGGGCAAGGCAGGAAGATGGCTATGCATTTGGGGCTAGCCTAGGTTCTATAGTAAGTTCAAATCCAGATAGGAAAAAAAGTATTTTGAAATATATAATTGTCAAATCAGTAGTAATTTTATGAGCCAAATTAAACCTTTCCTGTTTAGAGTGAGCATAAGGATCTCCCCGCCCAATAATTTTTTTTATTACATTAACACATATTTTTGAATTGTTTATTTTTTTCTTATTTTATTTTATTTTATTTTGGAGAGTAAAAACAAATAGAAAAGGACACAAACAGGGTAACATACAATATTACATATGTGAAAGATTTTTAAAACAGGAATAGCTAATTAACAATGATTGTTATATTATCTATTTTATCATTAAATCTGTTGTTCAGATTAACAGATATAGTTTTGCAAGATTGGACAAATAATTGAATATTAACACTTGCTTTCAAGAAATCTTAATTTTTTCCTTGTCTTTTTAAAAAATTTATTTTAAAGTGAGTGTAATAATTGATAAGACCTTAGAAATGGTATACATTTAGAGGACCAAGATAAGAGGTATTCAACCATAGGATTTGTATTGCACATTGCTGGCCTTGATGTAGTAAGAGAAAGGATCTTAACACCTGAATGTGTTTATGGTTTATAAAATGTTGCAGTCATTACTTATTCTTCACAACAATCCTGGGGAGAAGCAGTAGTTTTTAGGAGGTTCAGTAAGGAAAATAATGTTTAGAGTGATTTAAATTAGAACATAAGAGTTCAAGAATGGGGGAGGGCTTAGCTGCAAAATCAAGATCCTTAGAAAGACAGAGTAGGGGAAAGAGCGAAAATACAAGTCAGACAAGTAATGTGGGGGTGAGAAAGAGAGTGAGGAGGATCTCTTCTATCTTCCTGCTAGTACACTGGTAGCTGAACATAGAAATGAGCCCCAATCTTAGATAATGATAGTCTTATGTGACAACCCTTATTATAGAGAAAATAATTTATTTGACTTTCTGCCTCTATATATTTATTTATTTTTTTGAGACAGGGTCAGTACAGGCTGACCTTGAACTTGCTTATGTAGCTCAGGTTGGCCTCAAACTCAGCAATCTTATTGCCTCAGCCTCCCAAGTGCTGGAATTACAGGCATGCACCACCATGCCTGGCCTCTTCCTGGCTTTATTTATTTATTTATTATATTTTAGGGAAGGGTCTACAGGGTTTTTAGGGTCTCACTACTAGATCAGACTTGTTGTGATCTGCCTGTTTACAGCCTCCCAAGAGCTGGGATTACAGGTGTGTGCCACCATGCCCAGTCTCAATTGCTGTCTCAGTGCACCCCAGGGGTGGGGCTGGCACTGCAAGCCTGGGGATCGAACTCCTGGTCCCTGAGCCTGCTTGTAGGTGTTTTAATCCGCTGAGCTATTTGACAAGCCCGGGGTCTTCCTGGCTTTAGAATTAGTTTTTCAGACCTGAAAAATATGAAAATGAACTGTTATGATAGAAATAGTACCAACACAATGTAACACTAAGTATCTGGCACTATTCTGAGCAGTTTCATTCACTCATTTATTTAATAAACATATACAATACTACCACAGAGTTGATACTGTTCATTGTTGGCTCAGAATTCATAATGTAGGCAAAACTCTCTGCCATTTTGAAACTTATTCTCTGGTGAACAGATAAATGGAGATGGAATGATAAACAAAATAATTAAGTTGCTTCTATACTAGTTGAACATCTCTTATCCAAAAGATACTTGGAAAAAAATGAAAAAAAAATTTAAAAAATTAAAAAGGGGCTGGGGAGATGGTTCAGTAGAATAAGTGCTTGCCTGGCAAGCGCAAGGGTCTGAGTTCAATCCCCGGTTCCGAAAAATAAAGATACTTGGGACTCAGAGTATTTTGGATTTTAGATTTTTTTTCCAGATTTTGGGATATTTTTAGATATCTATATCTATATCTATATCTATCTGTCTATCTATATATAGATAGATAAATAGACAGACAGACAGATATAATGTGGTTGGAATCTAAAAATAAAATTTGTTTCCTTCATGTACATTTCCTTCATGTACACCTTCTAGCTAAAGGCTGATGGAAGTGTGCACTATGTTTTTAGTGCACCTGTACTGTTGGTGGAGACCAGCTGTAAGAGGTCAGGTGTGGTATTTTTCTTCCTGTGGTGTCATGTTGGCACTCACTGGAGATTTCAGATTTTTGGATTAGGGATGCTCGACCCATCAGACGTTAGAGGAGGTAGAAATATAAAGAGATAAGTTGTATTTTTAAAAGAGCATTACTTAAGGCAATCTGCTATGCCAGTTAATCCATATATCTATATATCTCTATATATCTCTATCTCTGTCTGTCTATCTATCTATCTATCTATCTATCTATCTATCTATCTATCATCCCATGTTTGTGTGAAAAAGAAATCTTTACCCTAAGGATTTGGGATATAAAAGGAACCGTAGCTTTGTGGAGTGGCTCTTTCTTTACACCTGACAAATTCTAGAAGAATCTTTACCTTTCCTTGGAAAGAAATATGGGGGCTCCTCTCGTTTATTTGCAGAAGTTTTACTGTCTTACTTCCCTCGATCCCTCCCTGTCACCTCCTGGCAGCTGCATAGCTCATCGCCTACCTTCGGCATAGACTGTGTCCGGAGGCCTGACTTCGGCGACGAAAGCCTGTTTACAGAGTACTGCACAAGTGGGCAGGTCCTTGGGGAGCTGAGCTGCCTGCTCAAGGAGGAGGTTAAATACACCGCTATCTGCGAAACCACGTTACAAGTAAGAAAGGCAGTAGCTCTCATCTGGCTTATGAGTGACTCCTTCCTCAAGTAATAAGGATGCCAGTACATCATTTTCTTCCTTTGGATTCTGATAGTTTATTTGATCACCCAACCAGGGAGGCAGTGTACAGTAGCCAAGAAGGCAGCTTTCGTATTTCATGTGCAGGACTGTGTTGAGCTGTCCTTTCTCCATAGATAGAACACCTCCGTTTTGATGTTTTAAAAATTAGAAAGTATCTGTGTCGATTGCCCGGCATGTGTAAAGGCTCAGTAATGGGCCACCATTCTGAAAGCAGTGTTTTAAAAGAGTATTAGGCCTGGTGAGATAGCTCAGTGGTCTAAGCTTCTGCCTGGCAAGTGCATGGGCCCGGGCTTGAGCCATGGAACTGCATGCTGTGCCGGCCCTGGAACCCTGGATATGCCATGTGGGCCACTGAAACCAGTCGTGATGGCACCGGCGTATAATCCCAATTCTTTTTTTTTTCTTCTGGTAGTGGGGATTGAACTCAGGACCCCATGTTTGTCAGACAGGTACCTATGCCACTGAGCTATCTCCCCCGCCCTGGTTTGTTTTCAAATTTTCTTCATGTTTTACTTGGGAAGTAAGACATCTGTCCAATGACTAAGTGGTCTGACAGTCTAGTAGGTGTAGAGGATTCAAATAGAAATGAAGCAAAGTTCTTACTGGTTTGCTAAAGCCCTCAACATGTGTGGGGGTGGCATTAGCTACAGCAGGACAGGATTTAGAAGCTTGGAGGTGTGTGTGGCAGAAGGGATTGTTGTTTAATCAGTCTCATGCCATTTCCTTTCTGGAAGAGGATGGAAGGACTGAGCTTAGTCACAAGGCTGAATGAATTCATTAAGGTTCATTTAACTTGAATTCTGAACATGGTCTTCTTCAGTTAGGTCTTCCAAAGCTGGTATTCTTTTTTTTTTTTTTGTGGTACCGGGAATTGAACTCAGGACCTTGTGCTTGCCAAGCAAGCTCTTATTCTGCTGAGCTATCTCCCCAGTTAGGTCATTCACAAACAAATGCTATGCTGAAAAAGCTGCTACTGTAGACTCATTCAATGTGACAATAAAAATAGATAAGTTTGTAGAGGTTGGTTCCTAAATTTCGGGCTCATGCCAACCTCCATCATATATATGCATATATATATATATATATATATATATATATATATATATGTGATGAAGGTTGATATGAATGCTCATAGCTTCACTGGACCATAAATTTTGTCATTCATGGTTGATAGGTTGATATGAATGCTCATAGCTTTACTGGACCATAAATTTTATCATTCATACATAATAAATCACTTCTCCACTGTACAGTTACTTTTAAGTGGGAGAATATCACAGGCGTGTTATAGCCGATAGTCAGTTTCTCTGAAGGGCAGACATCTTATTTATTTAGTTCCAAATCCAGCTGGCTGTGACTTGGTGTCTTTTCATTTCAGGCCTTCTTTATCTCTTTGGAGGATTTATATGAAGGCTTTGATATCTTCTGGCCTTCCCTGGAATATAAAATATGGCTTAATTTTGCTCTACATATTGCTAATCAGTATTTTGAACCAACTATTGCCGATGAGGTAAGTTACATGATTAAAATGTGAATGAATTTTTAGTTACTGTATTCTTCATAAAATGTATTCTGTATTTTCCAGATAAAGCTAGAAAGGAATGTTGTGTCTCTTTTTCTAAAATAAGATTGCTAGAATTTTATCTACTCTTTTTTCCTGACTTCCTCCATGTTCTTAATCCTTTCATCCCAGTTAATTTTCCAAGGCTACCTACCTTCATTCCTTAAGAACAATATAAAATATGGTAAATAGGAAGATAACCCCAAAGCCAAGCATACCAGTAACCAGAACAAGATAATGAACACCCAGCCTGGTATTTAGTATAGTTTACTATACCTACCTTAACATAAATCTCTAGCCTTTTCAAAATCTTTGTAAAGAGGCTGGCGATATGGATCAGCAGCACAAGTGCCTGCCTGGCAAGCACAAGGTCCTGAGTTCAAGTCCCAGTACCCCCAAAAAAGAATATCAAAATCTTTATTGAGATAACTAAGCCCTCTTCCATGTACCTTCCCTTCAAAGAGTAGTGGTTCAAGTCTGTTCCTGGGCTGGCACAAGTTACAGTTCTGTATTTGTGCCCTAGCTAATGATTCTCATCTCAACTGTAATTTGGAATCTGGGGAAGTGACAGACTTGAAATTTAACAGTATGCACTGAACTGAAGGATTAGATGTAAATGTTCATTAAAAAGTTAGCATAAGGCTGGGGAAATAGCTCAGTGGTAAAGCACCTGCCTGGCAAACACAAGGACCCAGGTTCAATCCCTGGTGCTGCATGCCAAGCTTGCCCTGGAAACTCAGGCACTCTGTGCTGGTCACTGAAACCTGGTGTGGTGGCACACATCTGTAATCCCAGTGCTGGGGAGGCTGGGACAGAAGGACCACTACAAGTCTGAGCTGTACAGCGAGACCCTGAACCAAATGAATGAATAAATTTTAGAGAAAGCACAAAGCTGTGTCTGGTGGTGCAGGCCTGTGATACTAGCACTCAGGAGGCTGAGGTAGGAGGACTGCTGAGTCTGAGGCCATACTGGGCTACAAAGTGAGTTCGAGGCCACCCTAAACTGCATAAAGAAACTCTGTCTCAGAAACACACACACACACACACACACACACACACACACACATACACACAAGTTGGCATGTCATATAGGCCAACTGGCTTTATTTTAGTGGGAATGTACAGAGATTAAGGCTATTTTCTTACCTTTTGCCTTGGAGAGAAGTAGGACCAGTGGAAACACATGTGACTCAAAAGTCACATAAAAGATATAAATCTTTATAAAGATATAAAGATGTAAAATATATAAAGATATAAAACATTAAAAACTAATAATGTCCTTATGCCCCTGATATTATTCCCCAGACTGTATTCAATGATGTGGCTTATTTTCTTTAGTCTTTTCATGAAGGAACTAGCCAGTAAAGACTTTAGAATTCTCAAACACCAACTTGTACTATTCCTACCCCAAGTCACAAACTCCAAGTACACATGCAATTTCAAAGATGAACAGCTTATTTCCTATATTTTCCTGATTGCAAACTTCTAGATAAAAAGTTCACTAATTTTCTTGTGTTCCTGGTGGCCCAGCTGAGCTTGTACTCTCAGCAAGTGGGAGTCTGATTTGCTCATCAGTGACTAGTACCCAGGGACACAGATATTCAGATGGGGCTGGTGGCCTCTGTCAGGCCCGGTCCAGCTCATTCCTACTGTAGTGTTGACCACTAAGCGCCACGGTTAATTTCCTAGTGCAGCTGTCATGAAGTGCCACATTCTGATCTAAAAGTACCACATACTGGGCCAGAAATGCAAAATCTAAGATAAGATATCTGTGAGGGAAAATCTGGTGCAGGACTCCCTGCTGGCTTGTAGAAGGCTGCTTCCAAGTCTTCTCCCTGTATGCAAATCCATCTCCAGATTTTACCTGTCAATGAGAACATTAGTTATTCTGAGTTAGGGTCCCTCTTATCTCATTGCACCTGGACTGACCGTATTTCCAGATAAAGTAATATTCTGAGGCACTGAGGGTCAGGATTTCAACATGAGAACTTTGGTGGTAGGGAAGAATCAACCAACCAACCAGCCAACCAATCAGTCAGTCAGTTAATCAGTCCATAACAGCTCCCCTTCAGCTCTAATGTTTGTGATTCCAATAAGCAAGCAAGTAAATAAACAAATGAATAAGGTCTGTGATTCTCAGCCTCAAAGTACCATTCGGACTCAGTGTACTGTAATTTTGGCTTTTTGTTGTTGTTTGCTTAACTGTGAAGTGGCTTACTGCCAGAGAAAACCCATGAACCTATGAAGCCTGCTTTGGTGTAAATAAGAACCACCCAGGCAGAGCTGACCACCATGCTGCAGCCGAGGGAACAGTCAGAAATCAGTGTGGGCAGCCACATCTACCACCACTGGAACCACTAAATTTGGAAACCTGTCAGAGCCATTCCAACCTTTAAACAAATTATGTCTGTTGGTACCAGGGCCAATATGACTTGTGACATCATCAAAGAATTAAGATAGATCACTGCTTTATTTTCATCTCCATACCATGTGTCAGCTTGTATGATCTACAGAAAGAAATGTAATTTCATTGTAGCACTTAGATTTTCAGAAGTGTGTGATGAACAAATGCGCATATGTGGAGAGCTTGCCGATCTATACTGAAATGACTATTAATACCTCGACCATGAAATTTGTTATTATTGTTTACGGCTGTGTGATTAATAGTGCTACGGAGGATCCGTATCCTGCACCTTACATTATACCTAAAACCTGTGAGCAGGTAAGAGGCATCATTTCTACCCGGATCATTTTCTTTTCGTGGTGTCTGTAAGTGCCTTTAAAAGTTAAATGACAGCAATTAATTGTGTAACACAAAAAAGCTGGTAGAATTTGGAATGTTCTTATATGAAGAAATGATAAACGTTTGAGTTGATGGATTCACCAGTTGCCCTGGTCTGACCATTTACATACAGTTTATGCATGTATGGAAATGTCCTGTTGTACCTCACAAAAATGTACAGTTATTACATAGCAATTAAAAATTAAAAGGTGAAATTATAAGACTTTAGAAGAAAATAAATCCAATAAATAAGAGTAAACAAAACAAACATCATTCAACCATATCAAAAAGAAATCTAACCTGGAAAGACCTTTCAGTCCTTACCTACCCTGAACAAAAAAGTAAACATGGAACGGGGCCCTGTGTTGGTACCAGTGCCCCTCACAAGGGTGTGACACAGAGGGGAGGATCTGCCTGCTCACTACTTGCTAAACTTTTTGCCTTGATGGGAGGCTGTCTTCACAGAGGAAGGAGGGGGTACAGTGCATGTTTTCAAATTCACACCAAAACAATGCTGCTCTGTGCTCCTGGAGCTCTGGAAGTTTCTAAATTGGTTGATGAGAGATCTGTTGAGTGCTGACTTTGTTGTCACACTAGGGTCAATGGATGCGTCTTGATAGTATGTACTAGGCCTTGGGTTTCCTCATCCCCCATCTCTGCAAGTAAGGATGAGGAAATGTATATACTTAGGGCAGTGATAGTGAACCTTTTAGAGCTGTCAGTGATAAAAACAGCCTGCTCTAGCATGCGTGCCATAGGTTCACCACCACTGACCTATGACAAAACAGGGTGTGGGGAAAGAAACTAGAAGCAGGGGCCCTAATGGGCCGGGCTTCCATGTTTTGGGTCTTGGATGCTGGAAGGGTTAGGTTTAGGGTTAGGGGCCCACCAGGGATCAAGAGGCTGTGAGAGTGTTGATGCCTCTTTGATCAGGTAATAAGTTTCTTGGGAGAGATAATTCCTTCCTGTTTAAGCTGTGTAAATGAAATTTTATGGCCTAGAAAAGGTGGTAAGTTATTTTCCCCATTTTATAGCATTCTTACTTTGTACCTTTCAGTAATTCAGAGGCTTTGAAGTGACAGGTGGGGATGAGAGGCCAGGGGGAAAGAGGAGCAGAATCAACCATCTGCTTTCTTATGCAAACTAAGATTTGGGTCAGGCAAACATGGGTCTGAACCTGACCCTGGTGCCCTGCGACCCAGGTGCACCAGTGTGGATGGGCCGATGCTCGCCCTTGCTGATCTTCAGTTTTTTTCCTCCACAAATTAGGGATGATGACAGCTGCCATTTCAGTAGGCTAATTGGGAGGACTAAATGGTATTCAGAAATGGTAGCTGTAATTACTTCTCACCTGTTACCTGCATTCTGGGACACAGATTTTGTGGCTTATGGAGAAAAAGCTCTAAGAAACGAAGACAGTTTCTGCCACTTTAGAAGGGCTGGGTCTTGAAGCCTTAACCTTCAGTGGAGGAATAAAAATAATTCATTGTTTTCTGGGGAATTCTCTTCCTTCCAAGCTGGGAATTTTCAGTGCAGTTTGAGTAAGTCACAGACATTCAATTCTGTTGTCTACAAGTACAATGAGCAAAGCGCAATTTGCTGGCCCAACAAAGGGACAAGTTTTAGGTTGGAGACCAGTTTTAGGTTTTGGCTTCTTTATATTCTTTGGAAAAATTAAGAAGCAGCCGGTTTTGGGATCAAATAATGCTCTTTTGGACTTATAGTGATCCTCCTGTCTCAGCCTCCATAAATAATGCCCTTTTAACTAATTTTATTTTTTCCTTTAGATTCAGGGAACTGTAGATATAAGCAAGCTGCTGATAATCCAAGCATCGGGGCCTGCCACAGTTGATCATATCAGTGGCATAGGTAAGGGATAACCTTGTAGTAATAGGGAAGCCATTGAGAAGGGACTTCAGTGCATGGGAAGTTCTCTTAATGTGAGAAAGTGATTTAGGAGAGCACTGTGTGAGTTTATCCTTAGTCCCTGTTTTCAGGCCCCAAATGGTTGACACATTGCTTCTGAGAGGTTGTCAGAGACTTCTAGATGCTCAGATTTATGGGGGCTTCTTTTATATCCTTCCTCCATATATTTGACAGAGGAAAGCAGTTTCTGAGCTGCACTCTCTTCCTGCCCTGGAGACGCACAGAACTGTGGGGCCAGTGTAAGAATGTGGGAGAGGACAGGCAGTTCTATGGTGGGCCAGATGTGGGGAACTGGTTGGCTTTCAGAGGGGAATATGGAGCCTGACTGAAACTCAGTGAGTATTCCAAACTACAGTCACAGCCGCAAGTCAGATGACTTGCTTTAGGTAGCTGATGTGGCTCATTGTTTATTAGCACCCACCTTCATGTATTGTGTTATGAAGCATTTCATTCGCTGTTCAGTAGCCTTCCCTTGCCAAGCTCTCCCTGCGCCCTAACTTGAATACACAGAATTGCCATATTTGTAATTCTAGTCTACATCATCTCAGTATTTCCAACTCACCTGCCTGGTAGTTTAGATATTATGAAATTCTTAGTGAATTGTTAATTTGGGAGGAGGATTTCACTGATTTCTCATTATATGCACAAAGATTCTGTTAAAATTTTACATCTCACCATTTCTTATTTGTGTAATTCTCCAGTGTTGCAACTCTACTGTGCGCTAACACACCATGCCAAGCGCTAGTTGGTGGGAAAGCCCAGCGAGGCTTATGCCCTTGTGAGGAGGATAGACAGGCATGAAGTAATTAGATTTCCCTAGCAACAAGTTGGACATCAGACATTCTTACGGCTCACATTCTATCTGCTCTTCTGGGGCCATGTGCAGCTCTATGATTTAGGGAAGTCCCTCTGCTTTTGGGCATTGTCTAAGCTGGTGTCAGTGAAATGACCATTGCCCCAGCACACACCATCTCTCAAGGTCTGCTGAATTTTTGTTCCCAAAACACTTTGGATTTCAGGGGTCGGTCTGTGGCAAGGCTGGAGAAGTAGGGCCTTGGGGCACTTGGAGGGCTATTGAATCAGAGGTCAGAAGCATGGCCAGGAAGCAGGGAACAAGTTCCTACTGGTCTTGACTCTTGGACCTCTCACTTTCAACAGCTCCTTTGGATTTTTTTTTTCAAACTTTGTTTATCAGTATATTTTAGATATATTATATACATATATACATAATAATCACATTTCTCATAGGGAATTTGTACCTATGATAATTTGTACCTATGATAGTTTTGTTTTGGAATTATTTTTTAGTTTGAGAGAAATAGGTCCCTGTATTCTCCATAGGTTTAGAGGAAAGTCACAAATGGTGAGCCTTCACACTGGAGCAAGCCAGTATAGATTGGGTTTCATCCCCATACACATATATATTATTTACATTTTAAACCATTTGCCACATGGGATAGAAGCTTTAGCATTTTAAAAGTGCAGATTTTGAAGTTCTCATGAGAAGTGAGGTCTGCCAACACTCAGCTCAAGCGTTAGTGAGAATTAGCTGAGTGTAAGACAATTTCTGGGGAGGGGCAGATTCTCCTGTTCGCCACGGTCCCCTCCCCACTCCACTTACCTTCAGGCAGCGATGCAGCGAGCCTGTCTCACCGTTTGTGCCTATTCCTATTTGATTTTGTCAGCTCTTGGGTTGGAGTTTTGGGTGCCTATTAGAAACCTCTAAGGAAGGAAAGAAGGAAACTTATTTGAAAAGAGGAAGGGAAAAGGGAGCCTTACAAAGAAAATCAGTGTCTCAACATATTCTCCCGCTGCCTTTACCCTTAAATTCCTAATTTTTTTTTTTTTGTTTAATGCCCGTGTTTGATTTACCACAGTCAACCCTGGTTTGCACACAGTCAAGAAAGAACAAGTGCAGAAGAAAAAAGATAAGGTAACAAACACGGCAACTGGAGCACATTTTTCTAATTGTGACTGTTAAACTGCACAGCTAAACTAAATTGTGAGGTCAAGAAGTGAAATGCAGGCAGTAGGAAAAGCCACTTCTCACTGCAACTCATTATTTGGTCAAATTGAGATAATGCTCATCTGACTTACTTAGAAATTAAAGCTACAGAATAGTTTTGAAGTCTATCATTTTGCCCCACCTAATTTTCTCCCTTTCCATTCTCTCTCCTGAGTGTTTAGTTTCTAAAGGAAGGGTCTTTGGGATTAAGAATAAGGAGGGCTACACAGCACGCGCAGATCTAGACATCTGTGTCTATGCCTTCCCTTTGGATGGGTGGATGCTATGCTGGAGGGAGGTGTGTGGAGCCACACACTGCTCATGGGCCTCTTCCTAGAGCATTAGTTTTACTTGAAGATATTTCAACTATTAAGTTTATTTGAAACATTTAAATTAAAATAAACATTATGAGTAGGATAGCAAATTTGCATCAACTATTAAGATAAAACAAGAGACTTCAGGAACTTTATTTTATTTTATTATTATTATAATTGGTACAGGATCTTGCTACAGACTCCTAGTAATCCTCTTGGCTCAGCCACCTCAGCACTGGGATTACAGGCGTGCACCACCATGCCTGGTTTTAGGCCTGGCACAGCATTCCAGGTTTGAACTCAGGTCCTTGTGCTTGCCAGGCAGGTGCTTAGACTGCTGAGCTATCTCCCAGCTTCAGGATCTTCCTTTAAAAATTGAAGAGCTATTCAGACTTTTACCCAAACATCTTTTCCTGCTTTTCGAGAAATTTGAGAAGTGTTGAAAGTCATGTCTAGAACAAGGAGAGAAAGAGACTTAACACACTGAACAGAGTAGAGGCAAGTCTAGAGAAGGTGGTGGAGGCTGCCTGTACTGCTCACGTCTCTGGGTGTCTCTGCTAGGTCTCTGTGCACAGCTCGTTCAGGCCTGTGTGTACTTGTGGCTGAAGTGGAGGAGCAGGACAGGGCAATGGAGACTAGGCAAAGGCAGAAGAGGGTCACGTAGCAGTGGTGATGCTAAAGATGAGCTTCAGGGACCTTTGACACACTCTCTCCCCCAATTTCTAACAAATGAGATGTCAAGTTGCCCCAAATAATCATGCCTCTAAGAAAAATGGTACTCTCCAAAAGCGCTGCTTTCAGAAGACCCTTACTTTGTCCCACTTGAAACCAGATAGCCACCCCTTCAAGACCTAAAGGAAATTGTAGTTTGCCACCGTTCTCTATGAGCATCAAGGTAGTTTGCAGTGTTTTGCCAAGGGAAGGAAAGGTGCACTTCTCAAGGTCATAGACAACAGCTCCTTTAGACAAAGCAGTCTGATTCTTTTTGGGTGGCTCTTCCAGGGCCATCCTCTCTTTTCTCTTAAAGGGAACATATTTCACAAGTAATAAGCCTAACTGAGAGTCAAATAATTGAGCTTCTCATTTTTACTAACTTTCTCAGGCTCTATTGTCAACATCACTATTATTATTTGCTGAATTAGGGATAAAATATAGAGCCTCACAAATGCTAAGCGAGAGTCTTATCACTGAGTTACCTTCCAATTCCAGAGATCCTATTATTTATTTATTTTTGCAGTATTGGGGATTGAACTTAGGACCCTGTACTTGCCAGGCAAGCACTTATTCTCTTGAGCTATCTCCCCAGGCCCTATTTTTTTTTTTTATTTTTAATCAGGTTTTATTTGTTGACTTCAATCAAAAGTATTAGTATACTTTAAATATCACATAATAATCACATTTATCATAGAGAATTTGTTCCTCTACATGATAGAACTGATTTCTTTTTCCTCATTTCCCTCTCCTCCCTTCAACCCCTCTTCCCTTTCCCATTTACAAAGCTTTACATGTTTTTTCCTCTCTTTCTCTTTGTTTACTTTTCCCTTCTTTCATTTCCCCTCACCTCCCCCCATGTGAACATTTGCTTCCTATTTTACAGTACCTATTGTATATATTGGTCCTTATTTATACACTTTTGGCTTCTTGCACCAAAGGAACGATGCAGAATTTACACATGTATGTCCGATTTATTTCACTCAAGAGTGTGCACTCAAGGTGCATCCATTTTCCTACAAATGTCATGTGTGTATCCTTCTGAGATCCCATTATATAAACAATTTTTTTCATGTGTCTAATTTATGAAGAAAATTGCAGTTACTGTGGATTCAACCACAAAGTTGACTGGAATTTAACTGTCACAGCGCTTCTCTTTTTCTTAAGCACAGCTTTTTTTTTTTTTTTTTTGTTAGGCAGGAGATAGGAGACAGAGTCTTGCTGTGTAGCCCAGGCTGGCTTTGAGCTCACAGTGAGTCCTCCTGTCTCAGATTGCAGACGGGGCCACCATGCCCAGCTACCTGGAACACACCTTTGTTGAACTAATTGAATTGAGGTGGTATCTCTTTACAGTATAGAGTACACATATAATTAATTATAATGTATCACTTAAATCCTTTAATATATAAAATCTTTTAAGGAAGAATGTTTCAGACTATAAAATAGAAACTATTTAATATATTTTCTGTTCTTTTAAACAGCTAAGATGTTTTTCCTAAAATGCTCATATTCTATTTTTTTTTTTTTTTTTTTACTTTCTCTTATAGTTCAGAACTGGACATCACTTTAGAAAACCACATTAATGATACAAAAACGATGTGAGTAGTCAGGTTAAAGACTAAGCTAATATCCTGGCTTGAATGATGAAGGACTACTTGGCAAGGGGGTTACTTAGAAACTGGAAAATAATTTACTGCTGCATTTATTTGATAAGCAATTGACAGAATGGTGTATAAATTTCGATTTTAAAAATGTGCAGTATAGTTGAAAATTGTGTTCAAAGTTCTTCAGGAGGAGATGCCCTAAAATTTATAAGCTACCAAAGGGGCAGTTGTAATAAATTATTCAATGTGTTGCATTATTAATGTACTACTGTAGCATAAGATCTGTAATTTTTGTGGAATTGCTATACCTAACACCTCCCTGATATTTTCCAGAGTACAGTTGTTCTTCCCTCTAAAGTTTAGCAAATACTGAAAAGTAGAACTATGTTTTACAATCTGGCTACTAAGAGCAAAGCTTAGGAGAAATTCATATTCTTGTATTGCATAATATTATTGGATGTCACTTTTCAACTTATTTTTAGAAGTCAAATAAATTTGGATGCTATGGTTGAAAATTAATTTTTAGCATACATTGTTGTTTTTTCATCCCCACAAGACTGTGTAAAAATACATGATGCTTTACTGAAAATCCACTATAGTGGGTAAGAATAGGAGATACAAATACTGAAACTCTTAAAGCATTTAGAAACTTCTCAGTCATGCAAATACATAGAGAATAAACAGTACACTCTTAACTAAACAGTGGGTTACAGAAGAAATCAAAGAAGACATAAGACACTTTCTAGAACTAAATGACAATGCCAGTACAACATGCAAGAACCTGTGGGACACAATGAAAGCAATTCTAGAGTAAAGTTCATAGCTGGGCATGCACACATTGCAAAAATAGTGAGCCCCTGCCACACACACACACACACACACACACATACACACACACACACCAAAACACCCAGAAAAACAACAAAACTATTGATGCAGCTCAGGGTTCTAGAAAAACAAGAACAGTCCAATCCCAAAGCAAGCAAAAGGAGGAAAATTATGAAGATCAGAGCAGACATTGGTGAAACTGAGACCAAATAGCACAACAAAACTCCCTAGGGTTGATCAGACCTTCGGATGCCTGTAGTGGGGATGCCTGGAATAAAGAAAGACAAATTTCAGGGTCTGGGAGGAGTTCCCTTAGTTGACTGGCTGGGCTACTGCCACTGTTGGCTCAATTTTGGCTAGCAAGAAGCACAGGGAAAAGGGTAGCACAAGGTTTGTGAAATAGTAACTATAGAAAATGGGTGTATAAAGATTAAAGAGGAACCAGATTTTCTTTAAACCCAAATGTTTTCATTTTGACAACTGTTCTCAGTAGATGCTGTCTTGCCTCAGGAGTGCAGGTTATTAGCATTCAGCACACAGCCAGGGAGCACTGGGCCTTCCTTATGTCTGAAGCAAGGTCATGCCGACCTTGGGACTACAATAGGTTTGGGGGGCTTAGGTCACATAGTGAGCCTCATAATTTATCACATAGCCTGATCTCCAACACAAAACAACTGAAAATACTAATCTGTGAGTTGGGTCTTTGAAAGAATAGACAACATAGATAAATACTTAGACTATCTAACAACAAAAACAAAAAACCCAAATCATTGCAATTAGAAAAAGGTGAAATCACAATGGACATTGTGGGAAAGAAAAACATTAACAATTACTTAGCGAACCTTATGCCCATAATTTGGAGAATTTGGAAGAAATAGATTCTAGATACATATATGTATTAAGAATGAACCAGGAAGTTTTAAAAACCCTAAATAATCCAATAACATGCAATGAAATTGAAGCAGTAATAATCTACCAACTAACAAAAGCCCTGGCTTGGATGGGTTCACTGCTGAAATCTATGAAAACTAGAGGGAAACTCTAACACAAATACTCTTTTTTAAATGAAATCAAAAGGGAATGAGTACTTGAAAAGTCATCCCTGGAAGGTACCATTATCCTGATTCTAAGACCAGACAAGGATCCAAACAAAAAAAGAGAACTATAGGTCAGTCTTTTTAATGAATACAGATATAAAAATTCTCACCAATATATTAGTAAACAGAATGCAATGACTCATCAAAAAGATCATACAAAAATAGTTCAATATATGCAAATCCGCATATGTAATATATGACATAAATAGAAACAAGGAGGAAAATCACACCATCATCTCAATAGGTTCAGAAAGAGACTTTAACAAAAGCCAACGTCTTGGGGTTCAGGGCTAGCTCAGTTGTTTAAAGCATCTACTTGGGCAAACTCAGGCACAGGGGACCATGGTTTGATCCCCAGTTCCACAAGCCCCACCAGATCTGCCCTCAATGCAGCCTGAGCTAGAAAAAAAAAAAAAAAAAAAAAAAAAATTCAAATTCCAACATCTCTTCATGATAAAAACACTGAAGAAAATAGGTATAGAAGGGTCTTATTTCAACAATAAACACCATATATTACAAGCCTACTGCCAACATATTAAAGAAGAAAAAATAAACCAAACTCTTATCCTCTAAAATCAGTAACTTGAAACATTAGCAAGAGCAGTTAGGCAAGAAAAAAAGGATATGCATAGGAAAGGAAGGAGTAATATTATCATTATTTGCAGATAACATGATCTCTATATAGAAGATCCCCCAAAATCTACCAAAAGACTCTTAGAATTAATAACCAAATTCAGTAATACAATAGGATATAAAGCAAATACACAAAATCAATAGTGTTTTACACACTGATAAAATGAATTCACTGAGAAATTAGGAGAAACTATCACTCAGAATAGCACCAAGAAAAATTAAATACTTGGAATTAATCTAAGAAAATGAAAAATCTCTATAAGAAAAATTATGGTATTCTGAAAAAGGAAACTAATGAAAACATCTGAAAATGGAGTAATATTTCCTCTATTTCTGGATAGGCAGAACCAATACAGTCAAAATGGCCATACTGTATTTCCAAAATTGATACACAGATGTAACACAATAACAATCAAAATTCCAACAGCATTCTTCTTAGAACTAGGGAAAGAAATCCTAAAATTCACATGGACCTACCATAGCAAAAAATAAATAAATAAAATATAGGGGCCAGGGAGATGGCTCAGAAGAATAAGAACTTGCCTGGCAAGCACAAGGGCCTGAGTTCAATCCCTGGATCTGAAAAAAAAAAAAAAAAAAAAGAATAAAGCAGAAGGCACCACAGTCCTTGACTTGAACTTATAATGCAAAGCTACTGTGATAAGAACAGCATGGTACTGGTACATAAACAGATATGAGGATCAGTGGAACAGAAGATGAAGAAACAACTCCAAGTACATTCAACTATTTGGTCTTTAGCTGATTGGTCCAAAACACACATTGAAGGAAAGATAACCTCTTTAATAAATGGTGTTGGAAAGACTGGCTCTCCTTATGCAGAAGACTGAATCTAGACCTTATCTTTTTTTTTTTTTTTTTTTGGCAGAACCGGGGATTGAACTCAGGCCCATGTGCTTGCCAGGGAAGCGCTTATTCTACTGAGCCATCTCCCTGGCCCCCATATCTTTCACTATTTAACTATGTACTAAACTAAAATCAAAATGGATCATACTAAATTTTAAACCAGAAACCCTTCATTTGCAGAATGACAAGACAGGGAAACTCTTGAAGCCATAAACATAGGCAAGGACTTTTTGAACAGAATGCCAGCAGCCCTGGAAATAGCTCCAAGAATCAACAAACAGGATCATACGAAATTAAAAAGCTTTTGGGTAGCAGGAGAAACCACCAACAGAGTGAAGATGGAAAATATTTTTTTCCAGGTGTTCCTCAGACAGAATAAAGAACTCAAACCAATTAGATCCCCTCAATTAAAGATCCAATTAAAAAATGGGCAAGCAAAATAAGTAGACACTTCACCGAGGAAGTAGAAATAGCCAATAAATACATGAAGAAATGCTCATCATCACTGGACATTAGAGGAATGCAAATCAAAACAACTCTACAGACATGTACTAATAAACTAAGAAAAAAAAAAGAACCTTCTCTGGGCAGTATCTTTATCTTTTCATGGTGTTTGTCAGGAAATATGGAGTGTTGTTGCATGTTACATTATTCCTCCAACATGTTACAGTCTGGAACAAGCAGTCTGGAAATGGCCAGACAGTACTCACAGAGCTGCTTGTGAGCAGCGTGGGGTGGGCTCCTTCCAGAGGCCTCCTTCCTCCTGGTGCTGTGGCCTCAGGACAAGTGCTCCACTGGTTTGTTAGGAGCAGGGTACGGGGTTTCTCCTTAGGAGGTTTGCCTCTCAGTCAGGGAGGGACCCCACTGCCTAGACCAGAACTGTAACAGCAACCTTAACAGTCATCTTGAGATGCGCTGGCATCTCATCTTGCTTCCTTTAATACAATCCAGATGTTCTTCGCCAGGCCTAAGAGGGACGTGCATATCGGTGGGCAGGTGCAGGGCTCACTGTGCCCGGTATTGCTGCCACCTGGGTTAAAACCAGACTTGGTGTTACATGTGGTATCAAGCTAGGGGGACCAGTCCCTGGGGTTTTGCCTTTTAATGTGCTTGTCTGGTGATTTAGTGCATGCAGAAGCTTGAGGTCTACAAATGTAGGCGGTATAGCTGTAGTAGGAAATGTCTACTGTACAGTTTTGGTAAGGAGGCATATTACTATATATTTGAAACTAGAAGATAATATTTCATTCTGCAGGTGTCAGTTAGGATGGTTTGGGCTGGAGATACCAGAAAATCCAATTCTGAAAGGTTTACAGAAGTTTATTATCATGTATCAAACAAGTCAAGAGGTAGGAGAGGTTTGCAGTTGGTAGACTCTGTAAAGATTACCAAAGACCAGAGTCCAGGCGTGGTGGCACATGCCTGTAATCCCAGTGCTGGGGAGACTGAAAACAGGAGGATCACTATGAGTCTAAGCTGCATAGTGAGACCCTGTACCAAATACATTAAAAAAACTTACCCAAAACCCCAGATTTTTCCCTCTTCACTTTGCCATTCACCTTTTCAACCTCAGTCTGGGTTTGGTTCCCTTGCTTCAAGGTTAAGATGGCCACTAACAGCAATTAGCACTTCATTTTCTTGCTCAAATTCAGGAAATAAAAACAAAAGGAGGAGCTTTAAATTATTCCTCAGCAAAAGAACTCTAGATACCTCTAATAATCTATTTGCCTCATGGGTATGATGTGCATCACATGCTCATTTCTAAGCCAGTCAGGGACAAGAGGGTGGCAAGGACCTGTTAACCAGCCAATATGCCCTTTAACCTAGAACCAAAGTTGTATTTCCTTGGTTTGCATGGCTTCAAAGCAGTAGGGACAATGGATGTTGGAATAAGACAATCACTGTGACAATTCACTCCATACAGGAATTGGCATCTTGACTTTTTAGACAAAAGCATTTTTGCTGAGCTTCTCCCTGAACATCTTTAACCTTGGCATGGAGTCTGGAGGTGAGATCACAATTTTAACCAGACTTGGAACCACAAGTTTATCACTTCGTGTATTTCAAAGACTTATAGCCAGAGCATTTCCTTGCTTTTGAGAAGTCAGGTGAATGCCTCTCAAATTCCTTGTTTCCACTCCCTACCATGGTGTATGTTAATTTAATGAGTAAATTTTTGGCCATATCAGTTATTCTACAAAAGATGAGGGCAACAGTTCTCAAGAGAACACTCTGCCCAATGGCGTACATAAGAATGTACTCAGGGTCACTTCTACCTTGGGGGAAAAAACCCAAAACCTCGCTATGGAATACTTTATATTTGCAAAGGGATACTTGCAGTCTTATGGTTTCAATGTTATTTCATAAAAGCATGAGAATTGAATTTGAGGGTACATGACCTTTTCCTCGAATTCTTTAATAGTGACAGCACGTGTGTAGAGTAGACTCAAACAAAACACCATCACTTGAGAGCAGGATGGGAGGCACTAAGTTTACAATGCTGGGGAGAAAGGCTGAAGAATTGATTTTGAATTTGGAAATTCAATTGGAAATGTTCCATTAGTGAATAAGACCCAAGTCATTAACGCTGGAGACTGAAACTTTGAATAAGAGAAAATTGAAAGTAGACTCATGAGTCAAGGACTACAGGACAAATGTCAAGGGGATGAGAGCAGTGAGGAACCAAGTTGCCAGAGAAATGGCAGGACATAGGAGGGAATGATCAGAAGACACAAGGAGAAAAAAAATGGTTAAGTTCTTCAGGAGTAAAACATACAGAGCTGGGAAACAGTGACATCAGTTAGCCAGTCCTTCTCAACCTTTTAGACCAGCACTTTCAGTATTATGCAACCTGAGATTTTCGCCTTCCTTATCAATGTTCCTAGCATGATCCAAGTTTTACATGTACAGAAATCTTCCTATTCAATAAAAATACCATCAAGTAAGAATGTAACATGACAGCTATGTACAAGCCAGGGAGCAGGACCTCAGTGGGGAAGGCACCTGCCTGCCATTGCCTTCAGGCTAGACTTCTCTGCTTGTGGCATATGGAGAAATGAGTGGCTAGTTTACACCACCCCATTCACAATTCTTTGTTGCAAGAGCCTATGCACTGGGATTCCTCTTTGCAAACCTAAGACTTATTAACATGGTATAAAATCAGCCCAAGGGACTGAATTTAGAGCACAAAGTATGGATGTATCATTATTTTCAAAATCTGTATCTTTTAAGTCCAGCTACCTCATGAAGGCATTAGTTGTGATTTTGATTTCTGCACCTGAACCCACAAACAGATGGGATTCTGAGCCAAGCAAATAAACGGAGCTAAGTGGGAAGTGGGCCAAGACATGTGTGGAAATCGTTATGTTCTTTATTTAACCTTTCCATTTTTATTCTATGACATTTTATGTATCTGTATTTGGAGAAACTGCTGATGCCAGTCCTAGCAAGAAGTAAGCCCTTGGACATGTGTTTAAATTAGTATTTTAAAATATAATAAAATAATTCTCTGATCCAGTTTCAACTATAAAGATTTTATTTATTGATGCCCTAAGAGCAAAATCCAGAAAACAACAACCCACTGCAGAATAGTACTATAACTCATTCTCAATCATCCTCTTTCTTTTCACGAGGTGTGGTGTCCCATGCACACATCCTCAGAGCAGGCTGACATATGGCAATACTTGATGAAAGGCACACGGCATCTGTGCTCATGCCTTCAGGTGCAGCTTCCCAGCAGGAAAGGAAGCCTCTTCTGTAGGTTTCCCCCTTTCACAGAAATTTATCCAAAAAAAAATTTTATAGTAAAATATACCCCCCAACTTTATCTACTAGATAAAGTTATCTACTAGACAGGTACAGAATTGAAAAGTTCTCCTCTCCAGCTATGATCAAAAGACTGAATGTTAAAGATCTCAGTTCCAGGGCTACATACTTAGCTATTTACAGACGAAGGTGAATTTCCAGTTCTGTTGTTCTTCAAAATGGGAACACAAGAGAGGATTTGATGAAGATAACTACAAAAATTTGACAGTCATTCTCTGATAGAGAAAGATAAACTTCCTCAACCATCAACACATTCTACCTGGTTGATCATAAACCCTGCAGAGACCCAACAAGATCTGAGCTTCCAATACAGAATAAATTTCAAGAAGAACCAGTTGGCAGCAGTGCTGAGATGTGTGACTAGGACAGAGCGCTGGTGAAGGCACACAGTAAAGAATCCCAAGAAAATTTTAGTGCTCCTTCCTTCCATTTAATAAGCCAGTAGTACAGTAACCTAAGGACCTGGCTGTTAGCACACCAGGATATTCTTGTGGAACTGCTGCAGGAAAGCACGCTGGCAGCTGGCGCCCTTTGGCTCACTGAGGGACTAGTGACAGCCTTAGTGCCTCTGATCTAAGGCTGGGGAGTGTAGCGGAGGTATTTCTTGCCAGATGGAAGCTCTTTGGTGAAGACTCCTTTAGGGAAAAGTTTTTTGGCTTCTTCTTCTGGGATGGTTGGAAGGACCATTACGCTATCTCCATCCTATTGAAATTGAAAATGGTAAAATTCAGTCTTCCAGTAATGCTAAAAGGTATTCCAAAAATTAACTTGGGAAAAATAGGTGTTAATGAGAATAATTAAGTATCTATTTGTTCTCTCCTCTCTGAGGAACTCTGTTTTCTCATCTTTGATACTGTCCTGAGGACAGTAATTCCCCAACAACCCATTTCTAAGTTTACTTCAAAGTCTTTCCATGGACTGAACCCGGCCTCCTCTCATTATAGCTCTTCCACTCATCTTCCACAGGTACTGGTTTCCTTTCAGTCCTCCCTGTAAAGCTCTGCCTGTCTCTGCTGCTCATCCCTCTCTCCTGTGCATGCCCTGGTTACCTTGATTTCATGATTTCTCTTCAGAGGTCCCCTCCTAACGGTACTCTTTGACGGGCTGGGGATATAGCTTGGTGGCATAAGCACCTGCCTGGCAAACGCAAGGTTCCCAGTTCGGTCCCCAGTACCACAAAACAAAGGAACAAACCAAAGGTATTCCTAGACAGTCAAATATAGAACCAACACTTGCTTATTACTTTCTGTAGCATCTTCATCATTTTTCAGTAGACTACAGACTCATACTGTTTGTGGGAGTACAAGGGCAGGAACTTTGCTGCTAGCTCCCTAGTGGTCACTGTCATAGTTCAGTAAGTTTGTCTGCCATTAATGGCAGAATTTAAATGATTTTCTTGTCAGAAAAACCCACCCACTCACCAACCAACCAACCAACCAACCTATCCACCCACTCACCACAGGTAAACATATTTAAAAAAAAATCTACCAACATTTGGAAACTCTTTGGGGTATCATCTACGCCCTACATATTTCAAAAGATTTTAAGAGACCTCAAGTTTATGAACAAATTTTAGAGACTTCTACATGTTTAAAAGACTGAAGCTTAAGAGAAATACAATGTTTCATAACATAAATATGCTAACAGTTTGTATCTATGACTTAAAAAAACAGGCAATCAAGATTTTGCTATAAATATTTTGCCATCAGGGAATGGTTAGATAAAAATGTTTTTAAAAAAATCTTTTATAGGTTGAGTATCCCCTAACTTGAATTGCGTAGGAACATTAAGTATTTCAGATTAGGAATATTTGTACAGACTTTATTAATTTAGTATTCCTAACCCGAAAAATTGAATTTGTAAATGGCTCATACTCAGGAAATTTCAAGACTTCAGAGCAATTTGGACTTTGTTCAGCTTATGTAAAGAAAAGGAATCATTCTGGACAACTTGTCCAAATTCTCTACAAGTCAGGAAGCAATGTGAAGTTGTGTTTTGTAAGCTGTGAAAATCTCAAAATTAGCTTAGGAAAAATCCTTCCCAATTGGATGCCACAAACTTAGTTCCAGGAGGCAACCATTTAAACACAGGTCCTCTCGGCCTTCTAGACAAGTTGAGTATCTGTCCTTCTAATATCTTTACCTTCCAATCAACAGGGGTAGCGACCCTTTTTTCTGCTGTCAGCTGGAGAGAGGTAACTACTCTGAGAATCTCATCAAAGTTTCTGCCAGTGGTAGCTGGATAGAGGATGGACAGCTTCAATTTCTTGTCAGGACCAAAAACAAATACCTGCAAATCATAGAGAGGCATAAGTAGGAAGAGTCCCTTCCAGTGCTTTTGAAATTAAAGTTACTCAGAAAGTTTTGTACTCATTAAAAACATGCAAGAGTATAAAAATAAAAACAGAAGCAGATCACCTACTAGGATATACCAAATTGCTCATTGGGGTGGCTTGAGTATAATTTTCTTTTCTGTTACCTTCAAAACTTAAAAGGAATGAAGTTATATTTCACCCTGGCTGCCCCACTAAAAAAAATGGATTGTAAGTTTAACCCAGGAAAGGCCTCCAAAAGGTTCTATGTCATCCAGGAATGATTATCTTTTTAATAGGAACTGGAGTTCATGCTTGGCCTCAAATAACTGTACATTTATACAGACTGATTAGAGACTGAGTTTATTCTTTACTGGATGGGGGCAAAACAAATAAGAATGAAAAATGTGAGTTGACATCTGAAGGAGGATGTGGCGCTACTTCAAAGACAGATCTCTTAAGACAGCTATAGAAAAAGTTTATTCATTCTACATAGCCCCTTAGGATAAATGATTTTTTGTTCTGTAGGTTTCAGACAGCAATGAATTAACCAGTTTAAAAACTGAGCTGACTGTTCCTGTCACTTTGCATCAGCATTACAGATAATCAATAATATTGTCATCAGTACAGTTATTTAATAATTGCATACATTCCCTGATTTCCTCCAGTCAGTCCAAGTCACCACATAAAGCCTGATTGACCTTGCTGACTGCAAAGTGGACTCAGACTCACCACACGGGCTGTCACGGGCATGCCCTTTTCATCCTTTTCTGCTGGGTCCAGCATGCCCAAGAGGATGGCCAGGTCCCGACTCTTATCGTCAATAATGGGAAAAGGTAACTTTTCTGTGGGCTCATCACCATTGTAAGCATTGATATCCTGAAAGGCAAGGAAAAGGAGAAAAAATTCTAAACTTGCCACATTCTCTGAATTTCATGTTAATAGCCATCATCTTGAAAGACACAATAATTTCTCTGAGCAATTTTAATAAGAAAATGAATGAAGCCAGGTATGTGGTGCATGCCTGTAAACCCAGCACCTGGGAGGCTGAGACAGAAGGATTGCCATGAATCTGAGGCCAGCCTGGGCTACAGCCTGAACTACAGAGTGGGACCCTGTCTCACAAACCCCACAATCAACTGACCAACTAACCAAATAAAATCAAAATACTTCTCTGTATTACTTAATGGTGGAAATAAAAGCAGAATACAGGCTCAAATCCTTTCACCCCCAATTTTCTTAAATTCAACATGCATTTACTTCCTCAAGAAAGCATTAGTAAGATCTTTAAAAGTTGACTAAACAGAATTACTATGAGTCCAATATCAGGTAATTTTGGATACTCAAATCCTATTAAGAATATCAGAAACAGGTTTTCTAGGTCCAGACATCTAGAAATGATGTCACAGGTGAAGAAAATTCTGTGGATTTGGCCCATGCCTCAAAAGCACTACGATTTAGATGCTAGACTAAAGACCGATACTGAGAAATGAGAGTTAGGTGTGTGTGTATGTGTGTGTGTGTGTGACAAAACTTAAAGCAAATACAAGAATTGAGATTTGAATGTACACATTAAAGGACAAATAAAAAATGCATGGGTGAAAAGCAACTCAAGTGTGAACGATCTACTTTCCTCTTCCTCTAATAAAACCTTATTCCTCATTCAACTTTTTATTTTGCAATCCTCTTGCCTCAGCCTCTCCAATGCTGAGATTACATACATGTGCCACCATGCCCTCTAAGTCGTTTCATTATTTTATCAAACAATGACATAAGTCTTATAGGAAGCATGGTATACAATACAGTTATGTAGGCAGACATGGCTCTTACAGCAAAGGAACTTCTAATTTGGCTAAGAAATTCCTACAAGAAGCAGTATAGTAGTATGAAGACTATAATGCTTAAGTGGTGCTACAAATGCAGTGAGAAAGCCTTCAAGATAGATGTCAAATTCTCCTGAGCCCTTGAAGGATGGGTCAGATTTTCCCCTGGGAAATGGAAGGCACACCCTGGAGGAGAACACCACTAAAAACACACTGAAACATAGGCAGGATCACATAGAAACTACTATATAGGAGTGAGGAACATATGTGTGGTAGTTTGAGGAAGTAATGAGAAGGATTTAAAATTAGACTTAAGGAAAGATCTATTTATTATCCATGTGGACCCTTGAAAGTAGAAGGGGTAGGGGTAGTAGACACAAAACCTTTTTGCATTTCTCCATAGAGATGAAAGTGACATTAATGATTTCTGAATAGATCAGAGTTTTTTTTTTTTTTTTTTTTTTTTTTAACATATTCACTAATTTTGTCATTCAAACTTTTCTTTACCTGTCACTGGGCTGTTAGAAGTTATAAGAAAATAGTAACCAACATAACTTCATGGTAGAGGTACCTTGAAGGTTCCTACATAACTAGAGGCTAAGGTCAAGCCACTAAGATATACCTGGGAGTTGGTTTTTCCAAACAGGAGCCTAGATATATTTTGCAGGAAGAGTCAAAAAGGTTTTGGATGAATCAGATGTGACGTGAGAAAAAAAGAATTAAGAATGGGTTCTGGACTTTTACTCTGAGCAACTAAAAAAATCTAGTTGCCATCGGCTGAAATGAGAGGATGCTGGGATGAGAAGAGTGGGGCCGAGATGGAGACCAGCTAAGCTTGAGAAGACGGGCCATCCTGTGCAGATGCTGGGCACACGGTGGCTGTTTCCACGGAGACCAGTACAATCTGGCCCACAGAGGGACATCTGAGAATCAGAGCATACAGATATTTTTTAAAGATACGTGGGATGAGCTTACCAAGAGAAAGAACAGAGATGGAAAAGTGGTCCAAGAACTAGTTCAAGGCAATTTCAGCATAAATTAGGAGTTGAAAGATGATGATCAAACACCAGCCTAAGTGTGAACATCAACAGCAAGGATGTGACATCCAGGAAGCCGGAGGTGGAATGCATTTCAGGATATAGAGTGATCAGTGGGGCTGAATGCTGCAAGTAGGTCAAGAAAAACAGTGGGTGAGACCCAATCACTTAGACTTAATACTGAGCTTACTATGACATCACAGCCAGGTTTTCAAATATCTAGTGAATTGTGAACCTGAGGTTTCCTTGTAGCTTTATCTAAAATAATCAAGTTATTCTATAATTCTTATAATCCCAAGGCTCAAAGCACATATCAATTAGTACTTCTGATGACAGAGGATTAAAAACAAAACCCAACACAACTTCTGAGAACTTTGATCACCAAGAAGAACCTGGGTTTTCTCCCCAACAACCAACCAACCAACCAACCAACCCTTCATTGGACATCAGCCCTCTTAATTCAACTCAGTGTAGACTCTCTCTAGCTAGAGATAGTGTCAGATACTACAGGTTGAAGACAGCCCCACAAGACTCCCTCCCCATTTCCAATGACAATTGCAAGCTCCAGGTTGCTCTACTTGTGCTTCTCACGGATGGGCTATAAACTGGAGCTCTCATGACCCACCACTCCTTGGTGCTGCTTATTTGCTAGGGTAGCTCACAGAACTCAAGGAAAGACTTTTGTTCACAGAGGCATAGAGGAAAAGATGCACAGGGTGAGGCTGGGAGCTCCCACCCTTTTCCATGCTTACCATCCTTCAGACATGTCCCTGTGTTTAGATATACAGAAGCACCTGAAGTTTTTGGGTTCTGATGCAAGCTTCACTATGAAGGGATGAATGGCTAACTCACTGGTCCTTTGGGGGTCAGCTCAAACTTAAGCCTCTCTTTTTATCTCCCCGGAGCCTTGGTGTGGTGCTGAAAGTCTCAACTTTTTAATCTTGCTTCATTCTATTCAAAGACCAGACTGAAAGCCTCCAAAGCTACGCAAGCCAGCTGGGGCTCTACTCACTAGCATACAAAAGGACACTGCAGGAGCTGAGGAACCAAAATATATTTCACACATCACAGAAGTCTACCTTGCTCCAGGCAAAATGGTCTTCAACACTGTCTACTGAAAGTGCAATCAACTTAACATTCTTCTTGGCAAACTCCAGCGCCAGCTTTGCTGCTCTGCCAAGCTCTGTGGTACACACGGGGGTAAAGTCCCGTGGGTGGGAGAAGAGGATGCCCCATCTGAAACGAGAAGAAGGTCACGACTGAACAAACAGTTACCGAATGAAAAGTTACTTTATACAGAACCAAAAGTCGCATCTGCATTTAAAAGAGGCTTTCGTTTTTTAAATAAATGTTTGTAAACTTTCTAATAGTTGAGAAGTCCAATTTTTAAAATCTCCCCTCTAGAAGACCTATTTTGACAGCTCAGTTCAATCAAAGACACAGAATTCAAGATAAATATTTAAGAAGACTAATTTTAGGGTGTTGCCTCCTTTAATAACTATAGAACCACTCTGACTCCTTTTCAGGCAACAAAATTTGCTACTTAAGCCAAGTAGCCTGAAATAACTTCTTATTATTTCTTCTTTTCTAGTCCTTTTTTGTCTAGCACAGATTTTAATATTCAGCTCCCAATATGCCCTGAATCCAAACAGATGCCTCATTTTAAGAACAAACAGATTATGTAACCTAAAACAAATAGGTTTCTGGCCTAAATAAGTAACATTAAGGCTGTCACTTGGCTTCTTTGAATTAAGGAGACATAAATCTTTGTAAAGTAGCCCAATGGGACAAAACAACAATACTTTTTATAGTTTTATATCTCTTCACCTGTAGTTCTTTTTTTTCCCCCTTTGGTTTTATTTATTTATTTCATTCTTTTTGAGACGGATCTTGCTATGCAGTTCAGGCTGGCCTTGAGCTCACTTTGTAGCCCAGGCTGCTCTTAAACTCGCAATGATCCTCCTGCCTTAGCCGGCCTTAGCCTCCTGAGTGCTGGTTTCTTCTGGTTTAGACCAAGCAGGTAGAAAAACTGAAAGCCTACAACAGATATTTCTACAGCTATCATAATTCTACATAAACACAAATACCTAAATTATCAAGATCTAAAGTTAAACATGTACAGATTTGGGGCACACTTAAGCTGAGTCAGTAAGAAACATCTGACGAAACTTTGGAGTGCCATTTTCTTTTTTGCTGTTAACAGAAAATACTTCAATTACTGTAAAGAAAGTTTAACATTCAGTTTTCTAACTTTCCACTGGCTTAAGCTATCAGGGGTCTGGATTTTAGACCAGATCACTAACTGTAGTCTAGAGGATAAGCTGATCTACTAAAATTTTGGCAAGTTTCACTAAGTAGAAAGAATAAAGTTGACAAGGGTACAACCTTCCCAACCAGATCTTCTCACATACATCTACCCTTCAACTCCAACACTTTTAGTAAAGGAGAAGACCTTACAAAAATGAAAGGTCCTGTGGTAAAGAAACAGAAGTATGTGTTACACCTGTTTTAATAAAGGGCAATAAGAGGGGCATACATATTTGGAAATAAGTAATCTCACTATGAGTAATATTTTGAGCTTAAGATTTTTTTTTTTTTTTTTCCAGAAATGACCTATTTAAGGGTCACAAGAGACTTAAAAGTTTGCAGAACGGGCAGGGGATAGGGTGGAACTGGTCATTTTTGTACTGACAAAGGGATGCAAATTGGAAAGACTTTCCATTGTGAGCCAGTACAGGTTGTTTTGCTGAATCATTCTGGGGAACTGGTTTTAAGCCATTTCACATCCTGTCCTCCCTCAGAAGCCAAATCCAGTTTACCACAGGGCTAGAGCTACAAACAGAATGAATTCCAAGAATGTCTTACCTTGGCCTACCTTCCCCACTGTTTCCAGACTGCTGTTCTTAGGAGTATTTCAATTACATGATCCCATTTCCTTCCTCATTTTCAAAAGACAAAATGTTTCCTCCCTTTGAAGAGAATGCTCTCCATTTGCAGAGCCCAGAAAACCCCTGAAAACCCCTGGTAAAGGAGTTCTGCTTACAGGAGGTGTGCTATGAAGAAGCTGCTACCACATGCAGAAACAGTGATAAGCCTCAATAAGCTCACCAAATGCAGAACCCAAATCCTTTCAGTTGTTTCCAATCATCAGTTAGGATTAGACTGATGTTTTAAATTACAGTATTTTCTTTTGGGTGCTCCAGAAGATAACCCTGATCAGAAAATTGACAGTCTACTCTGAAATTACATATGGAATGGAGTTTGGAAAAACCAACCCAAAATTCTTTTTTTTTTGGTGGAACCGGAGATTGAACTCAGACCCTTGCACTTGCCAGGCTTATTCTACTTAGCCATTTCCCTGGCCCTGCCCCCTCCAAATTCATGTTACAATGGCACAGAGGGTTGAAAGTTCTTCCCAGATAGGGCAGGGAATACCCAGGTAAACTTGTATATAAGAACAGATACTTTTCTCATCTTCCTAATGGTGGCTCCCTGAGAAGGTGCCACTTTTAATCAAAGCTAGATAGATTCAGAGGTCAATAAACAACCACATACTATGGTCAGCTCTAGCAATGACAACACATAATTGTTGCTGCAGTACATAAGCTTTATGTTAATATAGACCTCTAATTCACACAAAGTTAAGAGCTCTGTTAAGATTTTGTTGCCTGGTGAGGGTTGTAGACAGAAATGTGTAGAAACACTATGAAAAGCTTACAGAATTTTGGAGAAATGTTAATATCTAGATTCTGAATATGAGACTAGCCATAATCTGTACTCCAGAAGTCTTCTGATTGCAAGGTCTGAGAGTTCCAATCATCACCCTCCTTCTAGTCCTCTCCTTTTGCAGAACTAAATTTTCCCTTAATCAATAGCTAGAAAACAAACTTAAAAGAGTTGAATAGGCCTGATATGTAAGAATCTTTCCCATATTTCCTACAGCCCTGTCCAGCCACTGATTAATTTCAGTCCTCTCTCTCTGACTATATGCCTGGATCCTGGATCTAAAAAGTATATTTTCTTCCGGGACCCGGACCTCTAAAATCATAATGTAATTAGATATGTCTGGTATGTGTTTGATTAAAACCATGCAACTTAACAATTTCCTGATTTAAAGCTATACAACAAGGGTGACTATTTACTTCTAGTTATGTAAGAGTGTCATGGGTCACCAGTATGCCTATCACTGCAAGCCCGCGTGCTGGATGCAATGCGGGAGGGGGATGGGGCCGCTGGCAAACAAAAGGGTCTCAGAGTGGGGAGGTACAAGTCCTGCTGGCGCTTGGACCGGCCTCCACTGGCAAGATAAGTCACTGCAGCTGAACGTTCCTTCCCTTAAACTGCTACAAGTTGTGGAATGAAGGACACACACCACACACGGAATGGTCTTGTTTCCCCTGAAAAGGCCGTTACATCAAATCTTATCTTGGCCATTGGAGGATACTCTGGATAGTCTTTCGGCCACGTACTTGGCATCTGGTGGTTTTAAATGCTACATTTTGTGTCCAGGAGCTGCGAATACCACGCAACCGGCAGAAACCTCAGATAACATGGTGGGGGCTTCCCTAACCTGTCCTCCTCCAACTCTGGCCTTAGGCACCCGGCTTCTCCACGCAGCCAACTCCGGAACGGAGGAAGGACAGTGCGACCCCGGGCACGCCCTGCCCCTGAGCAGCCCGCCTCGCCCCCGGCCTCGGCAGGACCGCACCAGTCGGGCAGCTGACCAAACCCAGGGTAGTGGGACAGCAAGCCCTTCTCCTTCGCACGCGCCGCGTCGCCCCCTTCCCCAAGCCGGCCCAGCCACCGAGGGCCGGCGACGCCGGCGACCAAGGGCGGTGCAGGGCGAGCTGGGGTCCCGGCGGGCAGCGCGCAGGGCGCCGCGGGGGCCGGGACGGAAAGGAGAACCGGGGAGGCTCCGCCGGGTCGGTCCTGACCACCGAGGCTGGGCGGGGCCGCGCGGGGGCCACTTACGAGTCTCCCAGAAAATCGTGGAAACGGATGCGGCCGATGGTGGTGTTGGCCTCGAAGTTGGGAGCCTCGTCGCCAAGAAGGAGCCCTCAGGGCATGGCGGCAGCGGTGACGCGGAGGACACGAGAGAGGCGCAGCCGCAGCAGGAACTAAGGCGGCCGGCTGGCGCGGGGAGACTTTGGGCCGCGCGAGCGGAGGGCCGGCTCGGGGGCGGGGCCTGGAGGGCGGGGCTGGCGGGGCCCAGTAAGGGCGTTCGGGGGCGGGGCCAGGCGGGGCTGCGGGGGCGGGGCCAGAGCGGGGCTTTAGCTAGACAGCCTGAGCTCTCGCCAGCAGGCTAGTCCGCTTTCTCACCCAGTGGACCCTGACGCCCGTTTTTCAGAATGATACCCGCGGCTCAATGTGTTGCCCCCTGGAGGCATGGAGCAGCCTGACGGTCAAACCTTGTATTTTGAGGTGCTGGGATTTTGGGGTCAAAGGAAGCAAGGTGCGAGGGGCTCTGCCGCTTGGCACTGCCACCCTGGCCCGCACAGACCCTGCGTACGCCCGTCGGAGGCCGACGCTGACCGAGGACGCAGTGTCCCCTCCACTCGCACCCTGTCTGAGGGTGAGCGTGTGCACGCGCGCACTGCCCCAGTGAGTCTTGTCTATCAGGATGTGGCAAGACCCAAACCTGTGGAGGTCTGTATGTCACCGGAAGTGGCTTTCTTATTGCAGCAGACATTCCCGTACAGATGTCAGCACGGGTAATGTTACCACCCTCCACGTAGAATATTCAACGCAATTATCCTGGAACTTGAATATAAAATTTAAAACAGTGTTTTAAGAATTGTTGAGACTGTGAGCAAATCAACTCTCACTCCAGGAGGTCAGATGTCTAGTTCCATTAATTTCCTTTCTGCCTGCCAAGCATGAGGTGGATAGTGTTCTTGTTCTAGCACTTTCTACTGACAGGTGACAGACATAGTTAAGCATATATTAGAAAGCCATAAGTCCTATTCAGGTTGTGTTCTCGCAAGGAGGTCTGGGGGCTGCTTTGGATTGTGTAGTCTGGACTGGGCAAGACTATAGGGTAACAGAGGCAAACTACTTAGCAGTTCAATGTCGATAATGTTTCAGGCAACAACTCTTACTCTGTCTACTGTGTGCTAGGCTCTGTGTCATGCAATTGTGATATAATGCAATTATGATACAGGGCAAGCTATATGCTGATGGGGGAATGCAATGGTGGCAGCTTAGAGCAGCTCCAGGAAGGGGGCTGCCCGAAGGCAGGCACATGATGCTGTTGAGAGGAGTAACTCTCATCACTTGATCTGAGTTTCCCTGAGTGGTGGGCTCCCTGTGTCTGGGTGTGTTCATAGAATCATACATCCTCAGCCATTTCTCCAACAATCAGAGGTGGCAGTAAGGTAACTGGTAAAAGTTTTAGCCATTTGGAAAACTCTTCAAAACTAATATAATTTAAGCTCTAACTTGATGCCAAGCTGTGCTTTTGAAAGCACCCTAAGTCCTTTCTAAGGAGAGAAAGAGCTGGAAAAGGATAGTTTGACTTTTTTTTTTTTTTGGATAGTTTGACTTTAAGGGACTATTATTAACCATACATTGGGAGTGGGGGTATAGGTCAGTGGCACAGCACCTGCACGGCAAGCGCAAGGTTCTGAGTTCAATTCCCAGGACAAACAAACAAACAAAAATCACCAAAGCCATACATTGGTTGGATAGGTTAGAAAAGAGAATACAAGATAAATACGAAAACAGATGACTGCTTTTTAGCAAAGGCATAATTGTACAACTGTCTGTTGTAAAGCAAGTAAATGTAAGATGAATGCCTATGAGAACTGAAAGTGTCAGAAGCTGCATACAGGCCAACCTCTTGCATTGTGTGGATTTGTTTGACTTAGCCTTTGCAACATTTTAAATTCTCTTAAGTTAGTGGCTAACATTTTAGCAACATATTTTTTTTTTCACAAAAATCTGGATCTCTGTCTCAATTTTGTGTTGTTTTTTCTCTCTCACTATGTAGCCCAGGTTGGCCTTGGACTCACAGCAGTCCTCCTGCTTCAGTCTCCCAAGTGCTAGCATTACAGGCATGTACTGCCATGCTCTGGATTTCTGTCTCTTGAAAAATCAAATCTAGCAACCAGGCCCACAAGTCCACTTGGCTAACCATAACTGGAGGTTAGCCTTCTTAGACTCAGCATGTGTCCTATCATAAGGAAGGACAGGTAGAACCCTTTGATAGTGTAGAATGAGGAGGAAAATGAAGTAAGTCTTGCATCTATATCTGCCAAAATTCTGAAATTGAAAGAGGGTTATTTCAAGGAAAAACTAAGTATATCACATTTCTTTGTCAAAGTAAAAAATGTTCCCATGTACTTCAGATGTAAACAAAGTGGAACAACACTTGAAGGTACTTGAGTTTAACCTTTAACCCATAACCATGGTAGGTTCTCTGTGGAGTGAAATATTTAACGCTACTTCCCAAAGACTAGTGAGAAATGGAATGAGAAAGGAAGAAAGGAAAACACACACAAGGTATGCCAGAGAGGGCCAGAATGTGGAAAAGAGAAACTAGGCTAGAAAAGAGGGGCAAGGGAAAGAGTGCATAGACTGTAAAGGAATATATA